TACGTATTTAAACTTAAGAATAATCCGCCGCATCCTCTTGATTTTTTGGAATTACACAGTTATTAATTAAAAAGCTAAACTAAAATAAGTCATCATCATAAGGTCGTCAGTCCTAAGACTGGTTGGACACGTACCGCCACTCTTTCCTATCCTGAGCTAAACTTCGCTTTTCCCTAAAACTAGAACAGAAGAATTAGAAAGAATAGGAGAACAGAGGACTCTATGGAAGTCGAGAAGAAATAGTCGAGATAGGTTGGTAGGACACCTTCTCAGGCATGAAGGTCTGGTCAGAGACATATTAGATGCAGAAGCAGGAGTTAAGAAGATTAGAGGTAGATGAGTTGAATTAGTCCAAGTTTGGGTACTGTTGTCGGTTCACACAATCCATTTTGGGAGATCTTAGCTCAAATAATACCTATTGGAAACGCTAAATTCTAAGTTTGGAATACACTAGTCATTAGAGTGAATACGTAATGTAGAAATGCTGACTTTATTCCAATTGTTTAATTCTACCTCGATCACTTCAAAATTAGCGATTCTTGATCAATGAATCTAATTAAATGATACATTCTAGGTACCTAAAGTGCAAATGTTATATAGTTAGTGCTAGTTTTTGATTAGATGTTTTAATGGTCGATTGCAGGATATTGTAGTATTAGAGGAGATAGATACACATTCTAGGTACCTAAAGTGCAGATTTTATATAGTTAGTGCTAGTTTTTGATTAGATGTTTTAATGGTCGATTGCAGGATATTGTAGTATTAGAGGAGATAGATACACATTCTAGGTACCTAAANGTTGATAAATTTCAAAACGTTTGACTTTTTCATTGTCATTTAATAAACAGATGGTGTAATATTTTTGATTTCTTTTGGAAAATCTCTGGAAATATTTCCCAAAGTAAATAAACATAATGTGCTATGATAATACGTACACGATGATGTTGTAGTTTTGGTAACTAAAGAAGTACCACAACGTATTAGTAACTAAAAAAACCCCACTAGGAAAATTAGCGATACTGAATTAGGGTATTACATATTCATGAGTCTTTCCTAGGGGCTCTGAGGCGAATTCAACACATGTACAACCTTATGAAGAAGTTGGGCAGTTCCAACATCAGCATCCAAAATTTTTTTGAAGTGGGTGGTAGGGCAGTGATTATTTTCCCTTAGGAAGAACTTAAAAGGCAGTCACAGTGCTGTGCAATTGAGGCAAGACATTGCATGCCCTTTGTGGGCCTTGAAGGGCAGCCCCATGGAGTCCATGCGAGATATTCTGGCTAACTGACTGTAATTTTGGGGGAGGAGGGCCCAATCTTCCCCCAAAATTACAGTCGGGTGGTAAAATAGGTGGAATTCTTGAAGAGTAAGATAGAACTGACAAGATTGAATTTAGTTAAACTGTCAGGCCGCAAAAGGGATCACTGTATTAAGGAAGAGTTTTTTTATTTTGTTGGTTTATTAACTGCTCTTGTAAACAATTTTTTTATTACTTTATCGTAACGGGAATGCTTAGATCATCATGGTAATTTACCGGTGCGTGTCGCATTTATTGATTGTTAATTACAGGCTAGTGCAAGATGGAAAACATTGAGCTGGTCTTCAGTTTGTAATTAAAAAAAATAAAAAATTATGCTATTAAATTGTTTATCGTGTTTTAAACATATATATGGAAATTATAGGTGAACAAAAAAAACTTCAATTATATTTCTTTTTAATTGTTTATATCGTACATGTACATAAACAGTTATTTAATTATGCTGTTATTGATTTTCGTCATCAACATAAGATCGTCAGTCCTAAGACTGGTTTAACATCAACTCCACTCTTTCCTATCCTTAGCTAATCTTCGGATTTTTCCAAAACCAGAACTTCCCACATCCTTAACTATTTGTGAACGGTAATCTAATTTGGGTCTACTTCTACTCCTCTTAACTCCTGTTTCTGATTCTAATATGTCTCTAATTAGCCCTTCACGCCTAACAAGGTGTCCTACCAACCTATCTCGCCTATTTCTGATTGATTCCATAGAGTTCTGTGTTCTCCTATTCTTTCTAATACCTCTTCGTTTCTAAACATTGACAACGCAAAAATTACAATTTTCAATTGTCAATCAGTTAATTTGGCGTAGAAATGTAGAATTTATTAGGTAACTTGTAATAATCTCAATTTTGACATGTTTTTTAAAAAAATATTTCAAGTTTCTTAATTATTACAATTTAATTTGTAATATCAACTAAAATACCTAGTAAATTTATTTCTGCTGGGATTTTATTTTTACAAATTCGGTTCCAAATTGTAATTTTTATTATTTTCGCTTACGAAGCAACGGACTAGTGGGATAAATTGTAAATATCGCTTTAATATT